GGGGGGGACCGGCACGGTGAGGGGTGGGCTGGCCCCGCACCGCTCCCCCCCAGGGGCAGCTTTCTCGCGGGGGCCTTGTCCGTTACTCGCGAATCGGTCAGAAAGGGGCGGGCGGGCGTGAAGGGGTCCGTCTTGACAAAGGTCTCCTCCCGTGGGCCGTGGTTCTGTCTGTAGCTGGGGGCGTGGGGCAGGGCACCTGCCAAAAACGCGGTTGTGGGTGGCTTGGGAGCCCTTCTTATAAAACCTGGTCGTGGTCCCAGGTCTAAGGGAAACAAAGCAGTCTGCGTAACTGGAAGCGTATTTACAACTTCTTTGTGTGAAGTTGATGTTCCCTCCTCTTATCTGGGAAACTTAGATAGATGTGCTGCTTGGCACGGCATGAAACTTTAAGGGTTGGGGTTTGTTGTCTTGTCCAAATCGCTCGTGGGATTGTCGTCTTCCCTTTCCAATCTGTTTCACGGCTGGTGACCGTCCTCTTGGGCCTTTCTCAACAGTGACTTGACTTTTCAGTTCGTAGGAAGCATCGTGTACCGAGTCCAAGCTCACGGTCAGTCGTTAATACCTGCTGCCTCCTGTGTCCTGACTTCATGTGAGGTTTTCCACCTTCCCCCTTTCTCATTATCAGGCTCACAGTGGCCTGGTTGAAGTCACACACTGTCATGGGTGTGATCTCAGACTTGATTTTTTTTATCGGTGACCTAATGCATATGTGTAACCAGCTTATGCTGCCACTCCCCAAGTTCTTCAGGACTTGCCTTTTCCTTCTCTCAGCTCCCCGGCTGCTCGCTGTGATTTACCTAAATAAACCATCTTCTCTACATCCCTGGTTTAATGCTGCGTTGGTAACTCAGTCTGTGTCAGCCTGCTGGGGGAGGACCATGGGTGAACTGAGAAGCGTGAGCTTTGTTCCCGTTGAAAAGCTCTTATCAAATATTAGCAGCGCTTTCCCACAGACGCATTCCAAAAAATACAAAGAGCGCCTTTGAGTTACAAGTTTGGGAAGATTGCTTTCTTCAGGCTGCAGAAGCCATGGAGGATTCCTCACTGCCTGCCAGTTGCTGAAGTTTTAGAAGTGTTGCCTGTGCGGTGAAACGTTACTGATAGGAGAATTCGGGTTTCATTATGTTGCTGTTATAGAGAGATGTGCAGAGTGGTCTTCTCCACGTGAAGCCTGGCTGACACTAGAGCTCTTTGAGTCAGGGATGAGCTGGGGGTGCTGCCAGTGGTAAGTATCAGCAAGAGTTCTTGTATGGGGAAGGTGACTGTCAGCAAGTGCAACCAGATAAGAAAGGATCTGGAACTTAAATATGTGGTGTTTAGAAAAAAAAAAATAAAAAAATTTGTTATTTAAAAAAAAAAAAAGTACTTAAAGTGTGGAGGATCATGGTGAGAAATGGCCAGGCAAATCTCTGTTCTCCATACTGAAGTGCCTGCTTGCCAGTGTAGTGGTACCCTGGTACAGCTGATACTGCAACCTTTTGGCAAAAATGTTGCTGACTCCAGTGAAATTTTAGACTATCCCCTTGATAAAATCAGGGCTTTACACTTATACCTTGCATAAGTACCTAAACTTTGTTTAGATACAGGTGTTTCTTCAAACATTGCCTGCCCTGAAATTGCTTTTTCTGGACTCAGCAAAGTGTCCAGCTGGTGCCTTTTTTATTTTTTTTAAGAGCTGTTGGGCTGCAAGGAAGACGAGGTGCAGTGCTCTGCTTTACGGTGCAAGTCTATAGCAGCGTATTTTCAACTGCTGGCCTAAAGCCCTTGCTGGTTTAGGCCAATTTGGGCTTCTTGCTGTGTTTTTCATACAGAAGATTCTTCTGTTATCCTCTGGCTGCAATGGTTGGAAACTTACACCAGATTTTCACAATAAATTTATTTGTGACTGGTATGTACCTATCTGTGCTTGTGCCAGTGTTGCCTCTTATAAAAACAGCTCTTCTCTCCTTCAGCACTTTCAGAACGCACTCAACTCTTGGCTTCTTATTTTCAAACCACACATGCCAACCTTGCAGTTGCTCTTTTCCAGGTTCTCTGTCGATCTCTTCTGTGCACATGTTTGCTTAAAGCTAATCCCTGAACACCCCTGACTGGAGCAGGGCACAGAATGGCAGGGGAGGTCTCTCTGAGGTGCTGTGCAGTGTCGCAGGTAATTTCTTTGTGCCAGTATCCTTCATATCTGAATTGGCTTGGGGGCTCACAGGTCACAGTGACAAGCTAATACCTTGTGTGTGTGTCTCTTTTTTTGCTTGAGTTAGAGGGCTTTCCAGTTCATAGTACCATTTCTTGCAAAGTCTGAAGCATATGACCTTGCCTCATTCCAGTCCATCTATCTTACTCTTCTGTAGGAGTTTTTATAATGCTCCAGTTCTCTGTATCAACAAAATTTGTCTTTCTATGCCAAATTTGCTGATGGAAAAATATTTTGGTGGGATCAATCAAGCAGGCAGGTTCACGGAGCTCCATTGCGAGGGGAGTTGTGAGGTAGGTGAGATCATAAGTGCAACCTAGCCCACAATTGCCTTGTGCTGAGATTGCCCCCTTTATGTGGTCTTTAAACTAATTTCCAGCTCTTCTGAAGCAATCAGCTGCTGTGTACTTTCAGGTTAACAGATGAAATCCTGTATAATGCCTTTTAAAAAGTGCTACCAGATGAGACCAGGAATCCATCTGGCCCAGTATCCTGCTCACTAGTAACAAGTAGCAGGTGCCTGGGGAGGGGAGTACACAAATAGAGCAGATCTAATCTGGGGAAATACTGCTTTATTTTTCTCTCTCCAGCAGTTTATGACCTCTCTAAGCCAGGTGTTTGAATTAAGCAACCTTCACACTTCTCTTCCACGGATTTGTCCTCTCACTTTGAACCATCGTGATATTCAGTGCCTTGCACAGAGAGTCAAAAAGGTGGACACTTTAGTGTGTAGGCTGCTTGTTACATGGTCTACACATGAGGAAGAGTCAGAAAAGAAGAACTGGGGGTGCCCAAAAAAACTAGCAAGAAACAAATTCAGAACAAATTACTGCTTCACTTTCTCCATGACATTCACAATTTTAGGAAACTACTTTTTCCATTCCTGGTGGTCTCTTGGGTGGGCTGAATTGTCCTCATCTGCTTAGACTTTCCTTTCTATGTCTCTTCTCCCTGCTCTTCGTGTCATTGCCAGCTCTGCTCCAGCCTCCTTGAAATAAGGATGGAGCGAATGGGGGAGATTGGCAGAGGTGCCGATCAGATCAGTAGGTGATATTTATGGTGCGGGTGCCTCTTTAGAAAATGCCGTATGCTGTGGATTTGTATTTTGTTCTGTATTATTGTCTCTGTAATTATAGGCGTTCTGCTTGTTCGTTAGTGATCAAAAAACCACGGAGCTATGGTTTTTGTGGAATACTCTGCTGTAGCCCTGGTGTCCTGTTCCCCAGTGTTGGCTTGAGTTCAGTCTGTCATATTTTTTTAAGCTGAAGTTAGGGTGGTTGTTCCTGATGTGCTGTGCTTTGAATTGTATCACCCACTCATATCACAAGATTTTACTGCAATTCCTTAGAGTCATTGCTCTTATTTACTGATCATGTTGAATTATTCAGAGTAGCAAATGTTGTCATCTTAGTACTGCCTTCTCTTGCACAGCTCAGTATAGTTGAGCAGAGCAGAATCCTTTTGCGAGTCCCCTCCACTACAAAACTGACCAGTGATGCCTTTCTTCCCCCTTCCTTATCTTTTTTTAACCAGTTATTTATGCGTGTGAACGATTTTTCCTTTTAGCCTGTAGTTTTGTTCTCCAAAGAGCTTTGAAGGATCTTGTCATGTAGCATGCTTGGTTTTTTCAATGAAGTGCATCAGCTGCCTTTTCCTTGTTCACATGCTCTGTCTCCTCCAAAAGAAGGAGGCGGGGGGGGGAGACAACAACCTCCAACTGACTCCTGAGACATGACTTCATTTTATAAAATATAATTAGCCCTGCATCCATTTAGTCCATTCTTTAGGACAACTCTTATTTGCCCGGCGCGGCTGCCTGGTTTGTGGTTGCTCAGATGCCTCTGAATTGTTCTGTGAAAGCTGGTGCAAGTGTCTTTCAGGTACCCTCTTGCATCTTTAACCACAAAGCTATGCGAGGGACTTCCCCATCCTCCTCCTGTGTGACTTTGTATGTACAGTGAGGTTGTTGCTGTCGCCTTATCTTCTGAGTGGTCCTTTACCACCTGAAGCCTTATTTGCTTGGCTTGCCTTGCTGGGGTCAAGCAGGGAGAGTGGAGATGGCCAAGCTCAGCATGTTGCGGGTAAAACACAGTTTTAACTTTTGGGAGAAGTTATCTAATGACTATTTAACCCAGTAATAAATCATGCAATTCTCCCCCCTCCCCTTTTTTTTTTTTTTTTTTTTTTAAATAAAACCTTAACAAGCTTTTATTTAGTTTCCTTCTTGGGCATTTAGCCTTGCTGTACCGGCTGGACTGGCTTCTGTTACTTCTATGGCATGGTCAGATTGCACAGTAGGGGCTTGCACCAATACTCCAGCCACCATTCAAGGTGAAGGCAGGAATTGCCGCTTGTCTCATCCACTGCTGGGGAGGAGTCGCTTTATGCTATTTAAGAACTTAGTCTTGATGTTATATATTGACCAGACACTTGTGCAGTTTACACAGAGGCATTTGAAGTCTCTGTTTAATGCTGTGTTTCCTGCTTGTACAACCCTCTGGTGGTAGCATGACAGCTGCTATCGCTGCTTGGGTGGCTGAGACTATATTTTTCTGGTTTAAGCTTGGAATTCTGATTTACAGGGTATTTCTTGCTGACACAGTAAACTTAGATTGCTCAAATGGTGGTGTATGCTGAAGAAAGCTTAGATTCTCTAAAGGCTTGCTTAGTCCTTGTATGCTTTGAATGTCCCATTGACTTTTCTGCCCTCCACTGTTTTTTGAATGAACCTGCTGCATCCATATTATCACTTTAAAAACAGACATTTGAGTTTTTCCATCTTCTAGGCTTCCAGCATTTGTGAAGAAACATACTTGTGCCTTGGTTTTGTCTTTTCATCTTATTTTTTGTACTGTATTGATTTTTTCTAGCTTCTGATTTTTACATGGCTAATTCTTGTCCTATCTCTAGGGCTTTTTGAGGAGATGAAGTTCTTATGAATCAGCTTCTTTCCCACAAAAGCTGCATCGTCCTCAGATACATGCTCCTCTGTATCTGCTGGCTTTCTCTGTTGTTCTTCTGGAGTGTCAGAGGAGCCTTCAATCTTGATTGCAAGTGCCAGTGTCCGGGTTTTGGTTAATTTGGTCCTCATTCTTGTACAGGCTTCCAGTTGTCCAAAAAATTTCTCAAATTCTAACGAGTCCAAGCCTGAGTGTGGGAGCAATTCTTTGAGATGCTGTCACACAACTCTTGGTCATTGCCTTCCTATCCTCAGCCTGAATTTTGCCTCCAGAAACTTCCCTCCATCATATGCTAGGTGTACCCTTGTGGACCACAGGCAGTGACTCTTTGCTGACATTATTTAGTAGTGTGTTCTTGCACAAACAAGTAGTCACTGAAGATGCACCCTTTGGAGTCCTGCAAGGTTCCTGGTTTTAATGAAATTATGGCAGTGGTCACCTTGACCTGGAGAGAGCTGAGACAACCGAAGGCTTCAGTCTAGAGTGGCAGAAATGCCAGCGTGGAAAGCACTGTCTGCAGGATGTAAATCACCTTCAAGGTGATTCTCCCCCTCCACTCCACTATTATGAGACCCCACTTGGAGTGCTGCATCCAGCTCTGGGGTCCCCAGTGCAATAAAGACATGGACCTGGAGCGGGTCTGTGAAAGTGATCTGAGGGCTGGAGCACTTCTTCTATGGAGAGAGGCTGAGAGAGTTGGGTTGTTCAGCCTGGAGAAGGGAAGGCTCTGGGGAGCCTGTATTGCAGCCTTTCAGTATAGAAAGGGGCTTATAAGAAAGGTGGGGACAGACTTTTAACAAGGCTTGCAGTGACAGGACAAGGAGCAACAGTTTTAAGCTGAAAGAGGGTAGACTCAGATTGGATATAAGGAAGAAACGTTTTATGGTGAGGGTGGTGAGACACTGGAACAGGTCGTCCAGAGAAGTTGTGGATGCCCCGTCCCTGGAAGTTTTCAAGGCCAGGTTGGACAGGGCTTTGAGCAACCTGGTCTAGTGGAAGGTGTCCCTGCCCATGGCAGGGGGGTTGGACTAGGTGATCTTTGAAGGTTCCTCCCAACTCAAAGTATTCTGTGATTCTACAGACAGGTAAAATCTCAGACTTGTTGTGCCTACTTCATTACTATATTCCATGTTAAATCCCCCCTAGACCTTGCTTTTTTTTATAGAGGGAAGAGGTATTTTTAACTCCCTGCTAAAATATGTTTGATTTCTGGTTCATCAGACACTACCTACCTTTTAAAAGATAACTTATTCCTGTAAGTTGGCAAAACCAGCAATGAAACACAATCAGTGTGAGATTACCACCATTTTCTCCTGGCTTTTCATACGTTCTTCCTTCCTGTAAGATCTATTTAGAGCAGCTCATCTTCTGGAATGGATAGGTGTCTCTTACCTGTCTGAATCTTCTGTTTTGGTTTGCTCATCTGTGAGCAAATATCTTCCGGATAATAACTGAAGAGTTGACAGCAATTCTACCCTGAAGATTAGCCTGACAGTTTCTGCTTTGTGGAAGACAACTGAATAGCTTGGATTTGCTACTCCTAGCATTTAATGCAGGAATTGGGGATATTCAGTGGTGAGATGGGAAAACTTTTCCTGTCTGCCTCTGCTATCCTTTTTTTTTTTTTCTCTTCTTATGATTATATTATGACATTCCTCTAGGATGGGAAAATTGTGGCTGTTGACAAGAAGTGAAGGTATCTTTGCAGTCTTGAATCTGCCGTCTTTTTTTCTGAAGCTGTCACATTTCTCTAGTCTTCTGAGTTGACCATATTGCAAATGGTACATTAGAGGAGGCCATGTCATTTATTAAATATCCTGAGTAGTTGCTGTCCTATATATGTGTTTTAATGTCTATTGATAAAGCTTGGTGAGTTCATGCAGTTTGTGATGATGCTAAGAAAACTCTGGAATACCTGCTTTCTATAGAGCTACTCCTTTTTTTCCAACTCACAAGGAATTGCTGTACTTCAGTGCTGAAGCTAGGTTAATTAACTTG